CAACAGACACAGAACTTCAACCCGGGGGAGTTCATGATGCAGTGATGATGGCTGTGATGGAGCAGAGATTCCAGCAAGAATCAAGGAAGACCCAGTCTGCCGACACCGTGCGCAAACCCACTGGCCTGCGCGAATCTGCACCCATCAGAGCTACACCTGCAGTTGATGTTGGCAAACGCACTACTCCGCGAAGGGGTCCACAACCGGACGACTCCTTCATACTACGAGATAGTCAAGATGATACGCAGTCCACGTTCGTCCACCTCTAAGAAGCCTGCCTCTGCGTCCAGCCGATCCAGTTCAAGATCACCACAACGCAGACGTTCGCGAAGGCACAGCTCACCACATGGAGGTTCACGAAGAGGAGGTTCCAGAGAGAGACATTCGCGAAGGGAACGCTCCCACGACTGACGTTCGCACAGGAAGGAATCTTCAGCTGCAAGTTCGCGAACCCAGGATGAAGGTTCGTGAAGGGATACAGGCTCACACAAAGATACGTCAATAAGACTCAGCTCATTGACTCAAGACACTACGGACCCCGTCTTCTCGGACTCTGAAGTAAAGACTTAGATGGCTAGCGTGTTGAGCCTAGAGTCTCCCTCTAAAGATGAAGGATGATGACTTCGACTCCGTCACAATCCCACCGATCGAGCCTATATCTAGCGTACCGGACAGCCTGCGCACAGCCTTCCAAGTACCAGATGCAGCAACTACCATCTTTTAATAAGAGGAAATTCCCCCTACATCACATAGAACCGTTTGTGAAGGCGCCGGAGTGGGACGACAACATCAAGTTGGTAAACGATGCCAGGGTGTATAAGGTGGATGATAAGAAGTTATCACAAGTGGATACAGCTTCTAGAAGATCTTTCTTCGGACTAGCAAGATCTAGGGCCATCAATGAAGCGTTGATACAGAAATTCCAGAATTCCACAACGGAAGAGGATAAAATGATCTACTCGGCCCTCATCAATCAAAAGAAGGATCAGTTCTTCTTGTCGGACCACCTCACATCGATTTCGGCGGGAATCACCTTAATATGCAGACAAGGTCTACTGGAATGACAGATTTACGCAGCCACTACTACGAGCTCCGTGGGAGGCGCCTACCATCTTTGGAGGTCTATTGGATGATGCAGCTAAACAAGCTACACTAGACTCCAGAGAGGTGATGATTATCAAGACCATAGACACCTTGGCCAACGTTATCCGACGTACATCCCAGAGATACAACAACAAGTCTAAGTACACTGGGATACAGAGAGCTAAAGACAAAAAGTACTCCAGCTCCAGAGGCGGGAAGGACTCTTTTCGTCTCCCTTCAGGCAACTACAGAGTGAACTCAGGAAGAGGCCGTGGCCCCAGAGCTTCCAGAGGTACCAGACGCTGATGCCAGAGTTCGGAACCACTGGAGTCTTCCAACCCCAGCCGTTCCTGTAAAACTATCGACAGTGGGTGGACGTCTACAAGGGTACTGGAAAAATTGGGGAATTTTAAGAGCCGACTACGCCTTGCAGGTACTAAGAGAAGGGTACAAAGTACAACTGAAAGATGCTCCTCCGTTAACCCTCAGCCCGATGGTCTTCAAGCACGCAGAGGAACAGTCAGACAGATTGCAAGAAGCCAACAACGCACTTCTCTCATAAGATGCAGTAGAGATAATAGACCAGAATCATCTCACCCCAGGCTTCTAATCTCCAATTTTTCTAGTACCAAAGAAGAACTCCTTAGAGAAGTTCAGACTGATTTACAACATGCGCAAATTGAACAGAGACTACCAACTGAAACCAGAGATGTTCAGCATGATCCACCTACCTCAACTGAAACGACTCGTCCGTCCAGCAGATTACATGGCCAGCACAGACTTACAGGATGCGTACCTGCACATCCCGATACATCAAGAATCAAGAAAATATCTATGATTCCTGTACAGAGGGCAACACTACCAATGGAGCGTGCTTACGTTTGGAATATCTTCAGCCCCATGGCTATTCACACGAATAACCAAACCCATAGTCGCATACCTTCATCAACAAGGTCTACGCAATGCCTTCTACCTGGACGACGGGATTCAGGTACACCAAGATGCAAGTCTACTCTGAACGATCAAGCTGCTCACTCAATTTGGATGGTTGGTGAACCTAAGGAAGTCAGAATTGGAACCAAAACAAGATCTACAATTCCTGGGGATAAGATTCATCACTACAGAGAATCTAATCGTCATCCCAGAGGATCGATGGGTCAAGATACAAGCCATGATTCCGCCAGCAGTCACCTCTCCGCTAACTCTACGATCATGGCAAGTTCTACTTGGTCTACTAACCTCGGCACAAGACTTGATACACATAGGAAGGCTACAGCTAAGACCGCTACAACGGTTCCTCATAAAGCATGTGGACAGTGTCGACCCTATCCTGCTGCCCGAAAACCTCAAGAGGTATCTACTATAGTGGACACACAGGTCGAATGTCTGCGAAGGAGTCTATTTACAAGAGCCGGCCTTCGAGACACACCTCTACGCGGATGCCTAGTTGCAAGGATGGGGGGCACATCTCAATGATCATGTCGTGAGCATGTCGTGGGAAGGACTAAACGGCTACGCTTTTCCACCCCCGATACTAATGCCAAAAGTACTGATCAAGATCAAACAGACACAGACGCTACAACTGACTTTGGTCGCGCCTTACTGGCGAGCGAGAGCATGGTTTCCATATCTACTAGTAAACCTAGGAAGTCCAGTAATCAAGCTTCCAGATTGGCCGACCCTTCTGATACATACGCACACCAAGCAAGTCCACGGAAACCCAGCAGTATTCCAGTTACACGTGTGGACCGTTTAAAATGTGTTTGAAGAAAAGAGGATACTCCGCCTGAGCAGCCAAAGCAATAACACTAGCATTAAGCAGATCGGCTCGCAACCTATACGACTATAAATGGCTGAAGTTTGAAACTTACGCAAGGCGGAGAGGCTTCACAGCAATAATAGCTACGCATCCTCAAGTTGCAGAATATCTATGTCATCTGAGACAGACCAGACATCTAAAGGGTTCGACTCTATCGACTTACCTCGTTGCTATCAGTACAGTGATTACCATGAAAACAGGCATCAAGTTGACGAAAGTACCATAATTACTTGCTCTACAGAGATCAAGTTGGAAGACCAACAAAAGAAATTCAGAGCCCCAGCCTGGGACCTGAATGTAATTCTGCGTCATCTTACCAGTGATGTTTACGAACCACTAGACCAGATCACGATCGAGCTGCTAACACAGAAGACGCTGTTCCTTCTAACGTTGGCTACTGCAGCTCGCATATTGGAGATACATGCGCTGGACTACGGTCGAACGACATTCGACAAAGGGCATAATAATACAGTTCATCTAGGACTTAGATGGGACTTTATTGCCAAGAATTAGCTACTTGGTCAACCAGAAAGACAATTCCACGTATCAGTGCTGTCTACAGTCCTCGGCCCACAAAATATAGAGGACTTATCCTTGTGCTCAGTCAGAGCCTTGAAGATATATCTTCAAAAGACTAAGACGAGGAGAAGGAAATTCAAGCGCCTATTTATCCCATTATCAACTGAGACATCAACTGAAGTCTCAAGAACGACCATATCGTTCTGGATGAGAGCCGTTATATTGAGAGCCTACAAAGCAGCAGGACTAGAACCTCCTAGAGCTTCCAACCCACACAAAGTGAGAGCACTGGTGTCAACACTAGCTCTATACGGAAATTGCTCTATACCGACAATAATGGAGGGCTGCTTCTGGAAGTCGGACACAGTGTTTGCCAACCACTACCTCCGAGACATAACCACTGAAGACGTCTCAGGCATTCACCAATTTGGGCCTCTCGTTGCAGCACAGCATCTAACGGTTCCGCAAAGGCGCTGAGTTGAAATCTCACCCTTTATCACGTTGACTTGTAGATGACTTTTACTAGGAAAAGTATTAGTTTGAAAGGACAGACTAGCATGAGTGATTAAGATCCTGTGTGGGTAATGACCTTACCTGCACATAAAGGGATCACAACTCATTTATGATGAAGACCTTATCATAATCCATGGGTTGTTATAAGATATCTAGTACAGGAGAATACTAGTTTATAAACCACACGAATCAACATGATTCAACTTGTCTGAGATTGAAGTAAGACAAGGAGTGGTTCCCCCAAGTTACTACGCAAGTTGGAAGAAAAGGACCACGGAAATGCCGTTTGCAGTTCCCATGGGGGGGATACAGGATGTATCTAAGGACAGCTGTTGAATCCAGTGGCTTGACCCACCACCTATTCCGACGGATTCTATAAGCAAAGATCATGAGTCAGGATAAGGAAAAATATGAAATTTTATAAGTAAAATTGATATTTTATACTTATCCTGACTCATGACGAACAAACCCTCCCAACCTCCCCGTTGAAGACACTTGTGATTTCACAGCCGATCCAAGTGCATGGGTGAGTATATAAGGAGAGAGTGACAAGTCTGTGCGGGAAAGAGGAAGGGAGGTAACTCGTGGGTGAGTATTGTACGTCCGCTTTGGGAACTTCAAGGGATTCAAGTGTTCCACAACCATTCGAAAGGGAAAGGGAGATAAGCCAAGAACATGAGTCAGGATAAGTATAAAAATATCAATTTTACTTAAAAAATTACCTTTTTTATTAAATTCTCTGATTAAATATCTTATTATTAGATTTACAAACATACATTAGATGGGTAAAAAAAATTAGAAAGGCTTACACTGTACCTTAAATTCAGAGGTCGTTTTCAGTGATATTGCTTTCCTGGAAATGACAGTGGATGATAGAGAACCAGAAATTCCTTGCAGAATTCCAAACTCTCATGTGTATTTGTATTCATGATATATGTTCAATCATATTTGACATAAAGTGAGGGTTGAAAGGAAGGGACGTAATGCTGCTTTGTTGTCCAGGGGGATAAGTAACAAGCTCACCAGAACACAGTGCTGTTTGCATTATTGACATATCTACCACCAGGTGTTGCAGGCAGTGTTGGTGCCAGTGAAGGGTTCTCTATGTTCGGTCAGGCTTCAGGGATGTCCTTCTCTACCCTAACTGCACAGGGGGATGCAGTTGGATTTGCTTTCAAGAAAGGCAAGTAAATAGTTACCTTCCATTAGAGAGGAAGAAGCTTTTTTGTTTCACATTATTGAATGTAAAGTTGAAGGAGATAGGAACATAAAAACTAGGTGGGGAATATAGGATAAAAATTGTCTGTTTTTAGTCCACTTCTCATTGATAACAAATCTTCTCGAAACTGTTTAAGTTAAAGCAATGAAATCTGACAAACTGATGTAACTGGTCATTATCTCAAATGAGTTGTAATAATGGTGTCTTAAATTTATCTAGAGATTTTCCTGCTCCATACTTTCCCACTCATATTTGTCAAAATGCTTGGACTGACACTCCATGTTTATCTATCTCAGATGAAAACAGACCATTCCAGTGGTCAGGAGCAGGTCAACAGATATTTGGGTCATCTCCAGGTGGCAACAGGACCAATGATGGTGATGATGATGATGAGGTTGTGCAGGGTGACGACATTGACTTTAAACCCATCATTGAACTTCCAGAACTAGTTGAAGTCAAAACAGGGGAGGTCAAAGCCAGACTGTGCTTTCTTGTTCATAGAATGTTTGTCCTTGTGTGTGAAGTAAATGTGAATGTTGATTCATTTTTGTCCTAATTTGTCTATATCATATGTTATATTGGGAATTACACTGTCAGAGTAAAGTACAAATTCTAGTACTTTTGTTGGGTTGAGTCCCATCCAGGATTCGAACCCACACTCACAGAGTCGGGCACCTAATCGCAGCACATCAACCATCTAACCAACTAAGCCAGTGTGGCTTCCACTTATTAGTTTGTCTGCATGTCTAATTTGGGTTTTAATGTTCTCACAGGTGAAGAAGGCTGGGAGGTGGTGTACTGTCAGAGGTCGACGTTGTTCCGATTTGTGCACGATTCCAACCAGTGGAAGGAGAGAGCTGTGGGAGACATGAAGATCCTCAAACAAGATGGTGAGTCTGGCTTCTCATGGATTAGCATGCCTTGTCGTAGTCCAGACTGGACCATATACATGCTTCCATCATACAATTTAAAGTACCAACTGACAGTCTATGGATGTGCCTGTGAAGAATTTCAGATCCCCAGTAAGCCATGCTTGTTACAGGCATGATTAGGGCTTGGTTCAATGTACAGTCCACTGTTCCACTGAAAGAGTTGACCCGTGAAGGGTCCGGGTTAGAATATTGATCTTCAGTAACCTATGCTTGTCGTAACCCAGGCTCGCTGACTTGGTTGACACATGTCATTGGTTCCCAATTGCGCAGATCGATGCTCATGCTCTTGATCACTGGATTGGCTGGTCCAGACTCGATTATTTACAGACTGCTGCCATGTAGCTGGAATATTGCTGAGTGCGGTGAAAAACTAAATTCACTCTCACTCACTGAAATTAGTCGAAGAACCGTACTGTAATGTTCATCAATGGTAGACTTGTTGAAATTTTGTTCAATGTTTTCTTTATTTGTAATGGCCCAAGAATGTATTCAGATAAATACAATGTTCCTCATTCATGTATGTTTTCATTCTGTTGTAAACCATTGCAGACAAATATCGAATGCTGATGAGGCGAGATCAAGTACATAATGTGGCCTGTAATCATCTGATAGCTCCAAATATGATCCTGTCTCCCATGGCAACATCAGAGACAGTCTGGTGCTGGACTGCTCAAGACTATGCTGAAAACGAGGCAAAGATTGAACAGTTTGCCCTCAGGTTCAAGGTCAGTCACCAGAGATAACAGATATGTCTGGGGCATAGTTGCGTTTCGATGCATCAGCCTAGATGAAACTTCAGTGATTGGTAAATTTTTCTGTTATGGAAGGATGTACGTTTTAAATTTTTTTTTTGGGGTATTATGTATCCTCGGGGCTGTCTCTCCCGTTCTTTTTCCCCTTCCTTCTTTTCCCACACTTTCCTTTTCTCCTCCCTCCCTCCCTCCCCTCCCTCCCTCCTTCCCCCCTCTCTCGCTCTCTCTCTCTCTCTCTCTCTCTCCTTTTCTCTTCTCTCCACACACACACACACGAACACATACACAAACACACACACACATTAAAAAAAACAAAAAACAAAACATATTACATATGAAAGATTTGTGGTTAGTCTTACACCAAATTCATTCTTTAAAAAAAACCTTGTGGTTAATTAATACCGAGCGATTAAAAGTTGCTAAAAGTCACCTGCTTCACTCTCGCCCTCCAGAGCACTGCAGTGACGTCATGTGAGGAATCAAAGAATCAAAACTACTTACTAGTTGTAGTAAAATATGTATATGATTGATGACCATAAACATTTTCCATGACACAACTTGTAACATAACGATTTCTTCCTCGGAAGCGAGGTTGTGGTTGAAGTGACAATCATATTGTAAGCAGTATTATATTGACACCCAACTCGCTTCCATGAGAGAAATTGTTATTTTATAAGCTATGTCATGCAAAATCCTATTGGCCATCAATCAAATACTTATTTTACTACCAGTAGAAAGTAGTTTTGATTTTGTAACTCGTTGATAACAAACCTTAATAGCATTTATCCTCAGACTGGCGGATGTTCGTGACAGGGCGCCGCCATTTTTGAAAATCGTAAAGTCACAGCCTAAAGTCTGTTAGAATTAATGAGATTATGGTTTGTTTTCATCAAGTTAAAAAATCAAAACTACTTTCTACTCGTAGTTAAATATGTCTTTGGAATCATGACCAAAAGCATTTTGCATGACACAACTTGTAACATAACGATGTCTTCCACAGAAGCAAAGTGGGGGTCTAAGTGACAATACAGCACGATAAATTTCTTGCTACATACACGTGGTTAACGTCCACTCACCAGTATGTAGATACTAGTCAATGTACGTCTTTATATTTGGTCTTATAATCCTAATTAGTTTATTATCATACATGTATGCATTTTGAAACTTAATAAAAAGCAGGCGATCTGAGGATACTTATAGTGAATTTATAACAGGACTGTAATATCTAGACATTTTATAGTTTGCCAATGTGAATCATAATTTGCACACACGCCCTACAGTAGTGTATGTTGTTTGTCTCATTACACTTCACGGCGAAAACAATGATTATGTTGAATGCTACGACAAATGAATAAAAACAAAATGCAAATATTAAAATTAAAACAGATTACAGGTATAGGAACAATGTCAGACTATTACCTTGTTTGAGGAATGTATCCATCAATATCTACAAAAATGAGGGATATGTCATTCATCTGCAGCTGTTCCAAGAAATGTGTCTTCTAACAGTCTAATCGAAAAAGTGATATATCGTTTCAGGTATTTCCCATTGGTGTATAGTCTCATTGGTCACCCAAGTTAGCACACCTGGCAACTAATTGCATAATGTCCGTCATTCTTTAAAAAAAAAGTAATTTAGTTAGCCAATCTTGCTCAGTGAATCAATGTATTGGCGGTTAATCCTTTGAAAGAAGGACGTTGTTTTTACACAGACACAGATACGACAGTGTATTCAGTACAGATTAGTAAATCTACATACATAAACACTCGCTGTGCAAGATAAAAGTAATTAATCAATCAGCGTGTTATCTGTTATTCCTTTGATCGATGTTTATAATGTTGAGTATTTACTCAAGACACGGCACCCATGAAAGGCCACCTCCTCGTGGTGGGTGCTGGGTCACGCTAAGCGCCTTTCAACCCCCCGTTGTGGACCCGGGGGGGATATTTTGGTCCACCAACCCGTTTGCCGTGGGTTGCGCCCCTGTGTCGGTGGAGGACGGGATTCTGGTGGTTGAGGGCACTGGTTCCAGGAACAGTGTTCCTTTGCCCAACACACCACTTTGGCCCTGACTTCACCTAGACGGGTGGTAGAACTGGCCCGGTTCTATCAATCGGCTGGTCACGCCGTGCCCTGTGCATGGAAACATTCAATTTCATCATAATGTACATTTTATATACTGTTGGTATTGAATGTTGTATTTCAAAATTATCTTGTTATATCTATTTGCCTAGAGTCCTATGCCAGAAGGCGGTGGCTCATGGGCCAATCTGGTGATAATGACCTCCAAATGATGTATGTCTCTAATTTCTTGTCTTGGACCGAACCAGTCGGGCAAGACATTGGTGGACAAATGCAGCTATTTGTGTCGTTTTCTCTGGAGTATAACACCCTGTATCCCTGGTGTCGGCATTTTGGGGATCAATGCTATTCGACACCGTCCTCGTTGACACTCCGTGGTGGGTGGGGCACAGGGTGCTGAAACCAATTTCCTTTCACCATGACACTACAATTATCTGGTTCCACTCGAAATGAAAAGAAGAGACGAATAGAAATTGTTGATCAATCAGTGAAAACTATTTCACCAAATGAAGATAACTGGGCTCGATTCCTTGTGATAGAGGCTGTGGATTATCTACCGATAAAACTCAACCCTTTTGCTGTTTCCAAAGCTGTTTCTGGGATTTGTGGGGAAGTGAAGAACGTCACCCGTCTCCGTAGTGGCTCCCTTCTAGTGGAGTGCGCACGGAGACAACAATCGTTCAATCTTTTGTCAATCCGTACATTTGCAAATATTGACGTTACAGTGTCTGTGCACAGAACACTAAATACTTGTCGAGGAATCATACGTGACAGGACTCGTTGTCTGTCTGATATGTCGGAAGAAGAAATTGCTGTAGAGCTACAACATCAGGGTATTACAGCAGTTAAAAGATTCACAATAAAGAAGGAAGGCGTCATCACAAAAAACAAATACCTATCTCTTGACCTTTGCCCGAACATCGCTTCCGCAATCGATCAAAGCTGGGTACTTCAATATCGGAGTGGAGACATATGTGCCAAGTCCGCTTCGATGCTATAAATGCCAGAAATTCGGGCATGGGTCCAGTTCTTGTCGCGGCTCTGTGGTGTGTTATCGCTGTGGTGGGAGCCACGAAAACACCGACTGTGACAAGGACTTTAAGTGCGCAAATTGTCTAGGACCTCATGGTGCGTCGTCCAAATCATGCCCTATGTGGCAAAAGGAATCAGCAATAATGAAAATAAAGTGTGAAAAGAATATCTCCTACCTTGACGCCAAAAGGCTACTGACAAATGACCTCTCCACTCGATCAAACATCACATACTCTGCTGCAGTATCTCGCTCTGTGGCAACATCCACTGCGGCATGCCAGACTGACCTGACGTGGGTCAACTCAGAAAAACCTGTTAATTCAACTTTTCTCAAACCTTTGACTTCCCCAGTCACACCATCGACTTCAACGGTCACAACAGCATCATCTGGATCTCAGACTGAGACACAATCAAAAACACCATCAAACACGTCTGACAAGGAGCCGCCCGACACACTTTACTTGTCGAAACCGAAAGGAAAAAATAAGAATAAGAAACAGACACCAACAATCCCTTCACCTTTAGTGGTTCCTCTAGAGAACCCATTTGGCCCTCTAGACATGGAGGTTACGTTATCTTCACAAGACAGGCGGGGGGAATAGCTCCTCCTCACATTCACGAGGGCGATCACCAATTGAGGCACCATGACTCAGTTGCCCAATCTAATACAGTGGAATTGCAGAGGTCTTAAAAATAACTTAAATGAAATACAATTATTGATACAGGACTTTCATCCATCGGCATTTTGTCTTCAAGAAACCTTTCTTAAAAGTACAGATACTTTCAACTTAAGACAATACAGTGATTATCATTTCTTTTCACCTCAAGGCGATAGAGCAACTGGTGGTGTTTCTATCTTGGTTCGGCAGGGTATTATACATAGTCCTGTCCCACTTATTACCAATCTCCAAGCTGTAGCTGTTCGTCTGACTTTACACATTGCGTTGACGCTATGCAGCTTGTACATCCCACCATCTTCTGATATCCGTCTGTCAGATTTGCAAAATCTGTATGACCAGATTCCAAAACCGTGTATTATCATGGGTGATCTGAACGGACACAACCCGCTTTGGGGCAGTGTCCATACTAATCCTAAAGGTAAAATGCTTGAGGAATTCATTTCCGATAATAATTTATGTATTTTCAATGACGATTCAACCACATATTTACATCCAGCTACGGGAACATATTCTTCCCTGGATCTGTCTCTCGCTAACCCCAACTTGTATAATGAATTTAAATGGATGGTCCATGATGACCTATGTGGGAGCGATCACTTTCCCACCATTCTCAAAACAGTCAACCCTGGTGATGATCCACCTATATCCAGAAGGAACTTCGCCAGGGCTGATTGGTCATTATATGAGACTCTGTGTGTTGAACACTTGAAGCATGATCTTTTTAGGAACAGTGAAGATCCTATACAGTCTTTTTCGGATATACTAAATGACATTGCTGATAAAACAATTCCTAAGTCCTCTGCGGTTCCACATGTTCGTAAACCATGGTTTAATCATGAATGTAAACAGGCCAGGAAATGTAGGAAGAAAGCCGAAAAATATTTTCGCAAACACCCTACTGTCCATAATTTAGACAGAGTCAAAATTACTAATGCTAAGGCTCGACGTTCTTTTTAAACAAAATAAGCGTCAGTCTTGGCGTAAATATGTTTCTAAAATAAATTCACGTACACCTATGTCAAAGGTGTGGAACATGATCCAAAGAATAAAGGGCAAAGGTTCCAAATCTACCGTTCATCATTTGAAGGACGGTGATAATTTATTGACTAATAAAACTGACATTGCAAATAAACTTGGTGAAACTCTTGCCAAGCATTCATCTTCATCTAATTATGTCCCTGAGTTTCAAAAGTATCAGAAACAACAGGAGACGAAAAGAATAAATTTTAACTCAGACAATGGTGAAGATTATAACGAACTATTTTCGTTACATGAGCTCCATACCGCCCTTGAGCAAGCTCATGATACAGCAACAGGAGCTGATAATATTCACTATCAGCTCTTGAAACATTTACCGGAATCATGTTTAGAAATCCTTTTAGAGATTTTTGATCAAATATGGACTTCAGGGAATTTCCCAACTTCGTGGCGTACTGCTGTTGTAGTCCCTATTCCAAAACCTGGCCGGGATCATACTGATCCGTCTAATTACAGACCAATCTCTTTAACGAGTTGCGTCTGTAAAACCATGGAACGAATAGTAAATAATCGATTAACATGGTATCTTGAAACCAATAATCTCATAACAAATATTCAATGTGGTTTCAGGAAAAATCGTAGTACCATTGATCATTTGGTACGTTTAGAATCCTTTGTTAAAAATGCAATAATAAATAAACAACATGCAGTATCGATATTCTTTGATCTCGAGAAAGCATACGATACGACCTGGAAGCATGGCATTTTAAAGGATTTACATGATTTTGGTTTACGGGGTCGTCTACCTCTTTTATATCACAGTTTTATCAGACAGGCAATTTCAAGTCCGAGTGGGTTCAACCCTGTCTGACCATTATAATCAGGATCAGGGTGTCCCACAAGGCAGTATTTTGTCTGTAACATTGTTTAGTATTAAGATCAACAGTTTATCAAAGGTTTTAAATGATTCAATTGATGGATCACTTTTTGTGGATGATTTTAACATTTCTTGTCGCGGTAAGAATATGCATACTATTGAACGACAACTACAGTTGTGTTTAAATAAAATACATAAATGGTGTCTTGAAAACGGCTTTAAATTTTCTAAATCAAAAACTAATTGCATACACTTCTGCCGTAAATATAAACCACATAAACACCCAGAACTGTTTTTGAATGGCACTCCCATCAAGGTTGTAAAAGAGGCCAAGTTCTTAGGTCTCATTTTCGACTCCCATTTAACGTTTCTTCCGCATATCAAATCTCTCAAAACTAAATGCCTGAAGGCACTTGATTTATTGAAAGTCGTGTCTAATTCAAGGTGGGGAAGGGATCAAGCTACGCTCCTACACCTTTACAGATCACTTGTCCGCTCGAAGCTTGATTATGGCTCCATCGTTTATGGTGGAGCCTGCAAAAGCAACCTAAAACTCTTAGATTCAGTCCACCATCAAGGTCTGAGACTTTGTCTTGGGTCCTTCAGAACATCTCCTGTTGACAGTCTCTACGTCGAGGCAGATGAGCCTTCTCTTACTCAACGCCGTATAAAATTATCATTACAGTATATTACGAAGCTATATTCTAACGAGTCTAATCCTGCGTTTCGCTGTGTCTTCACTCCTCTTTATGAGGATTTGTATAACAAAAAGCCTTCTCTTGTTCCGCCCCTTGGGCACAGAATTAAACCATTCCTTTCTGCTGCCGGCATTGAGCTGGAGAATATATCTCCTTCTCGTCTTCTTTCTTCTCCTCCTTGGCAATTGGTGAGGCCAGAAGTTGACTTAACATTAACCACATTTAAAAAATCCGAAACTAATGATTTACAATATAAACAGGAATTTAGTCAGTTAAGAAATAAATATAATACCTATAAATCCTTATATACAGATGGATCCAAGGATGGTGGCGCGGTTGCGTGTGCCACTGTCATTGGGTCCAAAACAATATCTTCCAGACTACCCAATGACAGTTCAATTTTCACAGCAGAAGCAAACGCCATCTTAACAGCTCTTAAATATATTAATAAACACCGTAAATATAAACAATATATCATCTTTTCTGACTCTCTATCTTGCCTTCAGGCTATTAAAAATCTATCTTGCAAGCATCCACTTTTAATTGAAATAATCGAATTATATAATGATCTTGCTACTGGCCAATGCGACATCGTCTTCTGTTGGTTACCCAGCCACGTTGGCATTTCTGGGAACACAATGGCCGATCTTGCTGCCAAGGCAGCACTCCACAAATCTGTGACACCACTTCTTCTCCCATACTCTGATTATAAAGCCAGCATTAGAACATACATCCGCGATCTGATGCAGAAGAAGTGGGACACCCAAGTAGGTATCAATAAATTACATGCAATCAAACCTTATATCGGTTACACTTACTTGGGATGTCAGTCCAGATTTGAAGAGGTCACCATGCGACGATGTCGCATTGGCCACACCAGATACACTCATGAGTACCTATTGAAGGGCGAGGATCCTCCGTTTTGTATCCCTTGTGATGAAAGAATCACAGTCAAGCATGTACTGCTTGACTGTGTTGAATATTCCATCACAAGGGATAAGTATTTTAATGTCAAAACATTGAAGGATCTTTTTTACTACTGTTAGTTCTCATTTAGTTATTGCCTTTTTAAAAGAATTAGATTTGTTGAGTGATTTGTAAATAGATATATATTTTATTATTGGTAGTTTAGATTAGCAACTGAGATTGTTAGTGGCTGTATCCTCAAAGGGGGTTGAAGTATTGTAAAATTATTGTCCTCCTGAGAGGGTACGTAAGTCCCAAAACATTTGGTCAATTTAAGTGTGCCAGGTTTTTAATCGTAGAATAAGTGTGTTTTTAATTTATGGCTAGATTTCTCTTCTGTCGCCAATGGTTGAAGGGATGGTGTAAATCCAACTAGGGTCCATGCAGGTAGCAAAAAGTAATGTAAGTCCCCATGGTTCCTAGTATGGTGATCTACCTTCAGTTGTTGGCGATCTATAGCCCGTTTTTATATTGTATTGTCTTCGTAAATAAAATAGTTTTACATGTTCATGCTAGTTTTAGACTCCATCTGTGATACTCTAGTTATTTTACAGTCCTTCGCTGACTGATTCTTTAGCAACTTTGATTTATTATTTATATAAAACATTTCTCGTCACGATATGGCTGCAATATTGCCGATGTGACGTTAAATCGTAACTCACTCACTCACTACTCAAGACACAAGAAATGCCAAATGGGAACTTTTGTCAGGTAATCTAAGTGGTGTTACCACTAATTATACCTGTTATAAATTCATTAACTGACCAAGTGAATGATGACAAATAACATGTGTAGGTTTTTACCACCTAAGGGCGGTGGGGTAGCCTATTGCTTAAAGCGTCAGCTCGTCACGCTGAAGACCCGGGCTCGAATCCCCACATGGGTACAATGTGTGAAGCCCATTTCAGGTGTCCCCTGCCGTGATGTTGCTGGAATATTGCTAAAAGCAGCGTAAAACTAAACTCAGTCAGTCAGTTATACCACCTAACATGGGTTACAGCAAGGGAGTATTAATTGCTGTATTGCATGCAATTTAATTGCATGTGAAAACTTATGGACCGACACTGTTTTGAGAATACAAACAGAACTTCTTTGTTGCATAAGAAATACATTTAAGCATTTGCTGTGTGCTTAAACTGTTTGTACCTATTTACCTAAGTAAATTTTCAGATTCTTCTAGCAATGGCAAAGTAGGGTTGTTTAGTGGATGGATTCAAATAAATCAAATGTCATTTTTTAATATACGTAATAGATGTCAAATTTTTACATGACATGATTAAATATCGAGGTAAAAAAAACAAACAGAAATGGGATCAATTTGGATCAGTCACACTATCCAGGCATTAGAAAACTTGAAAGAGCCCACACTGCTTTGATACATTATTACAATCAGACAAGAACTACCGGGGATATTTTCAAATAATTGCATCTGAAGGGCATCCACCCTTCTTAATGTCGCACTGTTTAGGTTGAAGAAATTAACCGTAACCGTGATGAGCGAGGCTGATCATCGTTTTCACTATCACTAGTGTCTGGCTCGAACAAATAAGGCCTAGCAACAACAAGCGATTTTGACAGAATCGTCTATGAAAACAAGTTGTAACTCGGAAACTAGGCAATGCAGGAGACAAAATTAAATGAAAGTAGATTGTGAGAACATATAGCTTTCATTTTTCACAACAGTTGTCACGATTTCAGGTTTATACAAACCTGTAAACAAGATATTTACCCCCTGAAATGTACATGAATTCTGCATCTGCCCTTATATCTATTCGTCACATGACGTCACAGAGACGCGCCGCTCTGATTGGTTGAAATTTCGTTCGCTGGTGAGAATTGTGCACTGTTGTCAAAATGTCGATTAAGTTAATTAAAGATCGAAATGAGTAGTTTTAATGATGGGGTTTCATTTATAACGATGTCAATTAGTGATTTATGTATTTGTACCCCCCTAGAGTATATGTGATCTTTAAAAGGAAATTTTTATGCATGGTTTGAAGTCATGAGAGAAAAAATATCCCCTTTGAAAGAAAACGTAGTGGGCTCCCTCCAGAATATCCAATCATGGGTTTGTAAGGAAGTTCTACATTTAAATATTTGTTTTACATTCGTCGTTAAAATTGGATGCATGGCGTATATCATCACCTCATGTTTGAGTCATGTATTGCAGACAGAAAAGCTGGCCAGACAGTTCAAGAAGAAGTTTGAAGAGGTTCAGGAGCAGGTCAGACAAACAGAAGCTGGTATGTGTCAGACTACCATTTTCCCCAGTGAACCAAAGTAATTAAATCTAAACCTGAATGATCATAAATAACATCATGCAGAATGGGGTGTTTCTTAAACAGGCAGCAACTAATGGCACATATGTCATCTGATTTTAGTAGATTCTTAGATAAATATGACCATTGTGCTCCTCTCAGTTCATCTGTCACCTTAAAGAGGAACTGATATTTTATTACCAGCAGCCCCAGCTAAGAATGCCAACAACTCGGCAACTGAGTCCAAAAGTCAGGAAGTCTCTGTGACAGAGGAAGAAGAAGATGATGACGAAGATGATGATGATTCTGAGGAAGAAAGCATTGTGTTTGAGAAGAGGGCTACGTTGACATATTTTGAGAATGATGAGTGGAAGGTGAGATATTGATGCTATGTTGTGTCTCACACAATGTAGGTATGAAGAAGAGGAATGGCTATACAGGAGCCCTGTGTTGATGCACTAGAGTAAGAAAGTACACACATTGGGCACATCCATACATGGGAAGAGATTTGTAAACAGTTTCAAAGTCCAGCTGTTGCATTACTACAAGACTGTTAGGGTCGAGCCCTGCCATCTTGAACCTAGCGGGACTGTGGTGTAACTGAGACATATCAGGACGTTCAAGATAATAAGTGAAGGACATCCAGAGAACTCAAGATTAACAGTAACAGTGATGAAATTAGAGATAAGCAGGCATTTTGTTAGGTATTTAGGTTGTGAATCAGTCGGGAGGGGATAATATGTCCGAGATATTGTTAAATTTGAGAGAGTGTAGTTTGAGACCGATTGTGTTGACTATTTAAGCACACAACATTATATCAATTGATGTTCATGACACCATTATCAAAGGCACTAAACTTCTGTATGCAAGGTGGCCTCCATTAAATGGGATGGAAACCAGTAATGTTGTGTTGTGGTCACTTTGTTTCAGGTTTATCAGCACCGTACCACAGCTTTAGGGGTTCACTGAACTAGTCAACTTCTGAAGAAAACCATCACTTCTGGCTTTCCTTCCACGTTAATCTGAAATAGTGTTATATAACTGAAAATACTGTTGAATAACAATCGAGCCCAAATTAAGTACATTGCATCTACATACTTACAACACATTCACAGATTCACCGATACATTGATGTATACGTCTATTGATTAGCGCCACTGAGCATCTGAAAGGTGGATATTAGGCGCTTTACAAATGAATTATTATTATTATTATTTATTATTATACCAACTTGTACTTGGAGTTTCATTGAGAATTATCTTCTTTCTAGAAACTTGGAATGGGCAACCTGAAGATCCTGTACAATGAAGATCTGAATGGAAACCAAATTGACATGGACACAGATGACAAACTAAAAATCTGCAACCATATCATTTGCCGGGAACACTCAATAAGAGTGTAAGTCAGTTGAGAATTCTTCACCTTAAAGATATTGCTTGTCAGGAAAACGTTTTTGTGTGAGTGTGTGTGTGTGTGTGCTTGCCCTTGTCTGGACTTAAGTTTGATGTGCAGAGATGGCATGCTGCAGTTTGATATGGATACCCAACTCACACATTGAATACTGACACTCAGCCAACTGTTGTTGTTTTGGGGCATCAAGAGGCCAGTGATTGAACCACCTCTCTTGCTGTTTTCTGAAGGACTCTGTATCCACTTGCAGGCATTGGGAAAGGCAGGGGCCATGGGCCATTTTGCACATTAGAATAAAAAATGGCCCATTAAAATTTTGAAGTTTACTATTGATACAAGGGCAGTGGCCCATTCTAAATTCAGAAATGGCTAATAATCCTGAAAATGGCCCATTGTCAAGTTCTCTATCCCAATCCCTGCACTTTAACAAGGATTTGGAGGGAAAATGTAAAAGGCCAAAAACATGCGACTTACTAATGTTTGAAATTATATGAAATATGACAAAAGTCAAGTGTTTGATGCTCAGAGACTCATTCTTGTCAGTTGTGTGTTCCGGTGAGACTTAAGAGGTGCTTCTGGAGGCCATGCTCGATACTGAAATTCATTTCCCATGACTCTTTAAGTGATGCTACCAAATACCGCAATCTAACGATGTCTTATTGACATCATTTGTGTGTTTAGTTGGTTTGTTTTGCATGTTTTCATTAACGAACATCAGTTGCTATTCACCACTGTATCACAGGCTTATGTGATTCGCATTTTGGGGAACTTGAGTTTCTATATAGTATTTGTGAAATTCCTGTCTGAGAAGATAATGGCAAGTTCTTTAGTTAACATAAGACTATGGCAGTCAAGTTACCAAAGTCTTTGCAGTGTGTAGATACATACCTATACTATTGACCCTTGTTTGTCGTGTCATGTTGCTGATATTCCAAACTTGATGTCATCCCTCCGTGATTGTTCATACATCCAGAGAGATGCCGAAGAGAGCATGTATGTGGAGTGCCCAAGACTTCTCAACAGACGAGCCAGTCAAGAGGAACTTCAAGGCATCTTTCAGCTCAGTAGCTGCTGCAGAGGAGTTTGCTAAATCTTTTATGGAGGTAAGACATGCTTGTTTTTGTTACCCATTCTCATGCTTAGCCCTTTCCAAGAAGTCAAGCTCTCTCATTGCCTATTTGTCATACATCTGTCATCCATCATCCATAATAAACATCATCTCATCCGTGAAGATCCGGATTAGAATTGGTCTTCAGCAATCCATGCTTGTCATAAGACAATTTATTACGAATCTGTCTTTTTCATTATAGTTTTAACATGGATGCAGCCGTGATTGTGGCACTAATTTTCTTCAGTATTCATCATGAGCATTTCTTTGAATGTAACATTACAAAATGCGAATGGCTTCACTGATGAGATTATTCAGGGATTCATGTTAAAATCATAGATACCTTTTGTTACATTTAATAATGATTTTATGCAGATACTGTTAATGCATGGTTGTACTGAATGTATTTCAATTGAAGTGGGTGTCAGTGTTGTGAACAACTGAAAAGTTTGTTGTTTCTGGTGATTTTAGGGTGTGAGCTTGGCCCGAGATTCTGAGTTGTCCGAGCAGATTTCACATGAAATGGATACCCCTGTTATATTTTCTCATGGTGATGCCACAGGAGGTAAGTTTAGATTGAAGACATTATGACCTGTTGGTGTGCAATAAGATGTGTGATCTAACCATGTTACTTCAAAGGAGTCTCTAAATCTTGACAGAAATGCTTTTATAAGTTTATCAAGATGAATAAGACATATATTCGTAACTTTCGTAAGGTTGAACAGGAACAATTATTTCCACAAGGACATTCACTTACTGATTTACATACTGATATGTCTTATTATTGACCACCAGCTGTGTTTGAAGGATGAATCATGCGTTTCAACTCCAGAAACAGATGTTCACTGACATAACACCTTGGACTCAGTAGCTGCCTAACTTGAACATGCATTGCTCACCTTGAACTTTCATTGCAGTCTTTCAACTTGCATTGCACTCTTTGAACTTGCATTGCACTCTTTGAATTTGGAACTTGTATTGCATGGCTCTAACTTACATTCCTCTGGGGGTTGGATTTTGTGTGTGTAGTACTGAGCTATACTAACATACATTAGTGAGTGGGTGAAGAGATTTATGTGTAGGCTAAAGCACGACTCCGAGGTTATGGTTGGGAAAGTAAGACCCGAGACCGGAGGGTGGGGAGACCGGAGGGTGGGGAGAAGTAAGACCGAGAGCGCGTAGCAGTATGCAGTTTTGTCAATAATCACTATGGAAAAGTTCAGTGTGAATGAAAGATTTTAACTTAACCCATAGAGATGATCACAAAACTTCATATATTTTTATTACCCAATATACTGTTTCTGAGAAAAAACCCATTGCAATATGTATCGACTGAAATCTGTATTGCGATACCGGTAGCACTATGCAGTCGTACCTCTGAGACTAAAGATGTAAAAATACAACCCTTAGCACTTTTCAAAACAGCAAGCAACTCACAAACTAACCATGCAGTAGATAGAGAGGTTGGAGACATCTCACTCACTCACTCACGTTTGTTTGGTGGTGATGGTAAACCTTTTACTTTGGCATGCTAGTCCTTTTACCTTCTAACTGAATGTTTGATAAGGGTCAAACAGTAGTTTTATAGACATATGACAATGCATTTAATGTTAATTCTGAATTCTTTTCAACCTGTTTGTATGTGGCTGCCATTATTGACTAACATTGTAATAACTGAGCTTGTGAAGTGGTAGTACCATTCTTTCTGTACATTATCTTCACCTGTAATCACGGGGTAGGGGAACCCCAAGTCAGGGAGCATACTACCCCCTTTGGATGCTGCTTGAGCCCTTCCACCCTTGCTTACCTTGTGTGACCATATACCCCGGCTTCTTGTGTTTCAGTGGGACGGAAGTTCATGCTCCAGTTGTTCAATATGTTTGTGTACATAGCATTAACTGTCACTAGCCCCAGCACTGTTTCTAGACTTGAATTGAATGATTCTCCTGAATCCTGAATTCATACTTATCCCCAACTCCTGCCCAACGACCAGGTCAATCCCGAATCCTTGTTTGTCAATCCGAAGCAAGCTCTGCAACCTCAATGGGTGGCAGTAGCCAATGTGAGACGAGGATGCAGCCAGGTTATAGTGGGGGCAGCGAATCAGCAGCCTCATCACAAACAGGGGAGGGTGTGTCAGCCACTGATGCTACCTCAGTTGTTTCATGTTCGCCTGAGCTGTCTGCTCTCTTAAGTTCATTCTTAGAGGAAGGTAATTAAATGTGTTGCCTTAAAATGACCATACTTTTGAAAGGGATGTTCTATATAATGCCATTTTATCCCATCAAATACTGAAAGATAATCATCTGAAAGTTTCTGACATATATGCAATATTATATCTGTAAGTATTCGTGTCTTCTTTCCTGAATCTTCCATCTTAAACCCATGTCCCTGGTATGCTAACCTTAGTATGATAGCCATAAGATAAGAATTAACAAGTACAAGAGATTTAATGCAATAGATTTTTCTGTTGCAAATGAATATCTAATTGAATGAAACAGTATTTGCTCAAATTTATTAACTAATCATTGTTTTGATGTTTTCAGATCAGAAAAGATGAAGAAAATGAAGAAATAGGAAATTGGAATACGTGTGTGCTAAATGGATTCATAATTCTGGACTATAAATGAAAGATATTTCTTGATGTTTGACAACCTGGTGAAAAAGTTGTTTTTTAGTTGCAGAGCAACTCATGTACATACTTAGTTGCTACGCAGTAATGACAAATCATGACATGTGGTGCCTGCGTCCATAACTGTGTGTGGAAAATGTTTTGAAACTGAACATTTGCCCTTACTGTACATGCTAAAAAGGATAATTATTTAAGAATTATTTACATCTCTCAGTGTTATTACATCATCGTCTCAAATGTAAAGTCCCCGCATGGGCACAAAGTATGAAGCCCATTTTTGGTGTCCCCCTACCATGATATTTCTGGAATATTGCTAAAAGTGGTGTAAAACTAAAAACTCACTCAAATATAAATAATTACATAAGGAAGATGCAGTATTTCAAATAGATTCATTTGTCATCTTATGATCTTTTAATAGAGTTCCGTTCATTGTCCTTAAAAGATACATAGTGCTAATTCAAGAATGGTATATCTAGCTAAACGTTTGAATTTGATACATAGAATTATTGGAAATTACTGTAAATATCGGGTCACCATCCTTATTAACATTTGTACTGCTTTGAAAGAACATTGTTGTAAATACATGAATAAACATCCCTGTTGTTACTGTTTACTGAATCATGTTTTGTTATTCTAGTAAGGCGGTCATTCATTTTCAATCTAATATCATCATCTGTGGAAAGCATGAGAAAGCATTCATTTTCAATCTACCTCAAGCTCACACCAGTTTCTAGCACCAAACCTGAAGCAATAGCATGACTATAGTAAGGCCAGAAATGCTTGGAAAATGCTTTTTGGCTTCAATATCAATATGATGAATTTTACACACGATAAAAGCACAAATATGATACATGTACGACTCTGCCTAGTTGGATATTAAAGCTCAGATGAAAAAATGCATTTGAGGGGTGACTTCACAGGAGGAAATTTTGACGTTTGAACAACATTCGTAAATATTCTAAGTACAAACTGTAGTTTTGAAATACAGATTAATTATTCATATAGCCTCAACTAAATTACATAAATGATTGTAAAAGGTTGTGTGTTTGTTTTAACATCTATATGTGAAAAAAGATGGAACTCTTGTAGTAGTTATTTTCAAAATAATTACGTAAAAAAGTCTTAATTCAAATCGCATAGGTAATCTTGTACACCCATAGAAGTTTCCCTTTGTGTAAGAGCATTGAACTGGCAACATGCGACTTGACATCTCTGCAGAACAATTACTTTCAAAGTTATACCAGTATTTCATACTGGAGAAACAAAGAAGGAAACCTCTCGTCAGCTATGACAGGGTTTACTATAGAATGTGTAAAGCCCTTAATTTGACATATAGTAAGGGTTTACAAAGTTGTAAACAAATCAGTTATCTCAAGGGTCGTGTCAAAATCAAAACCAGGTAGGAAACACAAACTGGATAGCTTTGATAAGGGTGTCATACGCCGTGCAGTTTATAAACTGTATGAACGCAAAATCCCACCGACGTGTGCTAAAATACAAGATGAGATCAAAGATACAATAAATGTCCTGTTGTAATTCCGCTAGAGTCCTCCATCAGCAGTGATACTGACACTTGATATTTTGAGACGGTCCCTGACATGTACTGCCCGTGCATTACATAACGCTGTCACCCTGTCTGCCTGCCAGGTGGGGTCACAGTATAGTTTGTTTCTTAGAAGTGTTTCTACCATGGAATTTTTTCTAAGTTTTTCGATATTTTACGAGTAATCATTATGATTAGGGAATGGTACATCGTGATTACTCATATGCCATATTAGGTCGAGGTGGTATGAATGATTATATATGAGTTTTGAATCTGAAATATCAACCATTATCAAATATTGCCAAAATGAATTTTCCAAGCATTTCTGTCCTTACTTTTTTTTTTAGGACATACTACTTTGTTGTTAAGGAAATAGGGGTCAAACGGTATACCGCAGTAATAGTAGAACTGCGGTATTTTGCCTTTGGTTCGGTGTACCGTAATGCAATCCAAAAAGTCAGGTTTTTCGGTTTTCGTACCGTCATTTTAGTATTCATTTTAAACCTTTTCTAAAATGTCTAGAAATCGAAACATTTGGTCAAAATCTATGCATTTCTTTGCTTGACGGCCGCTATTTTCGTGGAAGTAAGTTCGAGATCGCCTCAAGTCGTCTACTTACAAAGTCAGCAGGACAGCAACTGCAGATACCAAATCATAAGCTGAGTTCTGTTTCTTTTTCAGTTATTTCAAATCAGACGAACAGCGAAACATCGTAATAACGTATTAAAGTCAACTTTTTCATAAATACACGCCATCAGCCGAGTACTTTCGATGTGTGCTATGATGCAACACACCGCGTTATAGCGTGGGTAAACACTGCCATCCGAAAAGGTATGTCAGAAAACTCATATTAAAACCATCTTCCTCGATTTCATTTTATTTGATTAAATTTAATCCATTTTCATTTATTAAAACTGTTTACAGTAACATTGGAGAAAACGTGTGTGAAATGACATCCGTCATTCTATACGCGTACCACTTCCGCTTACCTTGTTCATAAGGGTCCGCTTTTCGTACCTACGTACCGCGATAGCACCAATTTCACATTATTCTCACGAACAGATTACCGCCTCGCCATCCATGGAACCCAAGACCCGCGTTATTGACTCATTGAAGTCATATTTCACAATTAATTGCCAACAATCAAAGTGGTAGGTATCGCGGGAAGTCAACGGTGACCTGTCAAACTGTTTCACACGTAAAATGTATCCAGCCACGTAACCCAAAGTGCTGAACCTATGTTAATTATCATGTTAAATACGTTCGTAGAAAACATGCATAATACTAATGCCATAGCGATATATATTATCTCCGTTAAAATAACTGCTTGAGATATAAATTATTCTGGTAATGAAATAGAAATCCTTCGATGTTATATTTTCAGGTCATTTTTAACTGAATCACCGGTAGATTGGAGCAAAACATGAGTACACAGCTGATTGTTATTTCCGACAGTTAAATAACAGGTAGCATAACAGGAAGGACAACTGAATGATCATGTCTAGTGATGTTTAATTTGACTGCAGGTTTCCGATACACATATTTATTTTCATTTACACAGTTTTGTTGTTTTTTCACCTCCCTCAATACGATACAGTTTTGACTGGGCACAATACACGAAATAGCAGTTCTGTTATGTCCATGAAAAATACATTTTTACTTGGCCTTTATTCCGGGTTATGTATAACACGGGTGTCTCATAACTCGGGGGGTCATACATGGACCCCAAGACCGGCGCTATGGCGAGGGATAACTGCAATTATGGGTATGGATCTGGTAGCTTTCCCATCACAGTTCTTAAGCCTGATGTTTGTTTCTTAATGTTGCTACCATCTCATTGCAAGCTTTATTAGAACAATGAACATTTAACGACCAATAAAAAGAGAAAGCAGCTTTCTCAAGCTAAAATACATTTCTGAGTGAACTTTAAAATATACTTTGAATGACTTTGAACTGAATGAAACAAACTTCTCGAATGTGCCAAGATTGTGTAGCAGTACTTCCCAAGGACTGTGGAAAGTCTCTAAATGTTTAACCGACTGAAATGAGAGATAGACAATGATATAGAGCAAGGGCATTGATCTGTCACACAGACTAACTGTCTTATGACAACTGTGTTGAGTTAATTTGTTTAATTTATTTATCTGTGATATGTCATCAACAGAGTCACATTCGACAAGATCTGATTTGTGTATTGTTTTTAGGGTTTTTTTAGACATGAACATTTCTGTGAGCTTCAAGGTTCCAGTTCTATCTGGTCATGAAATGACAGTTTTGTTCATTCCAAATAACCAAGATTATGGTTATTTTCTTTCCATGTTATTAAACAATGTAAGATTTGGCTCTTGTTGTCAATTTTCTGCATTATGATCATATCTCATATACCGAACCGAAACGGACCGAACCGAGGGCTTTGTACCGCAATGCGTACCGTGGTAAGAGCGTACCGTATCACCCCTATAAGGAAGCTTCATTCATTGTGTGTACCCCTTCAAAGTTGAGTCGCCTCAGTGGTCCTGTTGACAGAGCACCGGCCGCCAAAGAGGAAGATTGTTGGTCCTACCTGAAGACGTTAAAAAATTGTTATTACCTTGCCTGACACGTGACCTAAGGGGGCTATATCAAGGAAGCATTGTATACTGGGTATTGGAGGTATCTCGTGAACTAACACTTTAAAACTTGCTCTCACACACATGCATACACATAGCACATACATGTCTCACATGCATGCACCTAAATATACCATCAAGTCTCCACCACACAATCCAGTGACAGGCATCCTTGCATTGTGTAGACAAGAGTTGATTATTGACAGACCCATGTCATACTGTTGAGTGCATCATTAAACATCGAACAAACAAAACATAAGGATGGTGTGAGGTTTTGGATGATTATAATTGCACTAGCAAAGCTTTTAAATAAGCTAACTGGATAAGAATACTTCGTCTTGAATAACCTTGAACCTCAGTTTGACTCAATGCCTGATAATGTTCAGTTTGAAACATTGGTACTATAGTTCTATCCACTTGTATAGAAC